TTTGAAACCAACTTTATATTGCACCATGATGTCACTTTTAGATTGCGCAGTCTCATCAAAAAATTCGTATCTTGGTGTAGAAACATCAAAATTATGAACTATTTGATTTCTTGGAAACTAGATTCAAAATTTAAGACCTATCCAAAATTCGGAATCAAAAACTTTCAGAACTGTCCCAGATATTATTTTGAATCTAACTCTAACTTCTAATACGTTGATAGTTTCAGATTTGCGCAACTTCACCAAAAAAATTGTATCTTAGTGTAGAAATGTCAAAATCATGAACCGCTTGATTTTTTAGAAACTACACTTCAAGATATAAGATACATCAAAAATTGGAAATCAAACACCTTCAGAATCATCCCGGATGATATTTTGAATTCTAACTTTAGATTCTGACACATTGATAGTTTCAGATTTGCGCAGCTTCACCAAAATATTTGTATCTTAGTGTAGGAATATCAAAATCATGAACCGTTTGATTCATCAGAAACCAAACTACAAAATCTAAACCATATCGAAATTGCAAGATTTAATACCTTAAGAATAGTTTCAGATAATATTTCGAAGTCAACGTAAAATTCCAACATAGTGACGATTTCAAACTTGCGCGACTTCACCATAACTTTTATATCTTGACGTAGGAATGTCAAAATCATGAACCGTTTAATTTGATGAAAAAAGACTTTAAAATCTAAAACATATCCAAAATACAAGATTTAATACCTTAAGGACTTTTTCATATAGTATTTCAAAAATAATATCAGATTTTGATATGCCGACAGTTCCGAATTTGCGCAACTTCGCCAAAACTCTTATATTTTGGTATGGAAGCCACGAGATCACAAGACGTTTTTCTTGCTATAAATCAAAATTCAAGAGATCCAATCTCACAAATATTTTGGGTTCAAGTCTCACTTAATTTGAGACGATGTGCCACACAATCTTTCTTCTTATACTTGTGTTCCCTTTTGACGCCTCTCTCCTCTTCCTTTTTTAGGGCAGTGAGAAGATATGAAGACCAACAAACATGAAGGTTGTGCAAACATGAATACATAGCAAATTCCCAGACTTCAATGCAAATACATTGTAGCCTCCTAAAAGACTATAATCATTTCATTGAAGACACCAATTTACCATAGCGGCTTGCCCCCTTTAAATCAAATGGGATCCAAAGTTTAATAGAAGAAGAGTATCTCAGCTCGATTTTCAAGTGCTTATTGAATGGATTACATTCCATCGTACTTCATTTGAACAACGATTGGGACACTATGTATCTTTTGAACTCATGCGGCAGAACTCAGAATGAAACTCTAAGCTACCTACGTACCTTGGTGTACAGGATCAGTTCATACCATAGTTCAGAATGAGTGGTTTTTTTTATGTTATAACCTTTGCCTAGGTTGCCTCTTTCAAGGTTTTCAACGTAGCAATTTTTTTGGTGGGTCGTATATAGCTTAGACTCATGCAGGCCCGGAGTGTAGGAACATGTAGTTTAGGCTCGTGCGTCAAAGAGCGTTGCAACTTCAAGGATAATACTTCTTCAAAAATTTGCCATTGATAGGGCTGATTCCCATGCCATCTGCATTAACCAGCTTGTAATCCCCACTTGAATAAGCTTCTTGTACGACATATGGCCCATCCCATTTTGAAGTGAACTTCCCTACATGTTTATGGGAAGTAATAATGGGTCTTTGTATGGCAAAGACTTGATTTTCCTACTTGAAAGGAACTGGGGTGAACTCTTTTATTGAAGGCGCGAGGCAATCGAGCTTGATAGCATTCAAGACTCTATTGAGCTTCCAACCTCTTCTCATCAAGAGCCTCCAACTCTACTAATAGAAGTCGAAAATTTTCATCATCGGTGATCCCTTCTTGAATAACTAATCGTAATGAAGGTATTTGATGCTCGAGTAGCAAGACGACTTTGATTCCATAAATGAGTGAATAAGGGGTCGCTTGTGTTGGCATGCGGTGAGTTGTCCTATATTCCCACAAAGTTTCTTCCATACAGTCATGCCAATCTCGTTTGCATTTGGAGATGACTTTTTTTAACAAGTTGCAACGAATCTTATTGAATGCCTCGACTAAACCATTGGCGACAGCATTGTACATAGAAAAGTTATGTTGCTTAAAGCCAAAGAGATCACAAATCTTTTCCATCAACCTATTGTCGAATGGCTTACAATTATCCCTTATTATGTAATGAGGAATGACAAAGCGATAGATTATGTTTACTCGGATGAAACTTGCAATATTTTCCTTCTTTACTTCCTTAAGAGCAACAACTGCAGCCCATTTTGAGACGTAGTCAGTTGCAGCCAAGATGTATAAGTGCCCACTAGAGGATTTTGGTAGTGGTCCAACAACATCCAGTCCCTAAGCAACAAATTTTCATGATGCAACAGTTGAATGTAACACTTCAAGAAGTTGATGAATAAAATTTGCACGGAATTGGCAAGCCTTGCATCTTCGAGCGTAGTCCAAGCAATATTTTACCATCATTGACCAATAATATCCCATCATTTTTATATGGAAGTAGAGCTTTGATCACTACTGGTGTGACCCAAATACCCCAGAATGTGCTTCTTGCAAAGCTTGGAGTACTTCATCTTTCCCTAAGCATCGAAAGAGTACTCCCTAAAATGATCTTCTGTATAGAGTATCTTTGTAGTAAAGGAAACGAGGTGCACAACGGCGAATTTCAGTCCTTCTCCTTGGATTTTCTGGAAGTATACCGTAGCTCAAGTAATCGATAATGGATTGTTGGCATTCTTCCTTCTCACCTTCAGAAACAACGACAAGATGCTCGAGTTTATTGTCTTCACTTTCATCTTCATTTGGCAGCGGGACTACCCACTTTTGGTAGATAGTAACTTGCGCTTGATCAGGCAGGATAAACGATGAAGCTAGGGTAACTAAAGCATCAACCTTCTTATTTTCTTTCCTAGGTACATGTTGGATAGTCATATCACCAACCCATCCCATCAAACTTTTAGCATAATTATGATAAGGGTGTAATTCAGGTTTCTTGACCTCGTAGCTACCTAAATGCTGGTTGACCACTAATTGGGAGTCACCAAAGAATTGCAATTGCAACTGCTTTATATCGACAGCCATTTCAAGACCAAGTATTAGTTTTTAATATTCAGTAACATTGTTGGAGTAGAGTTGTGTCAATGTAAAGGAGTAGGGCAGAACCTCCCCTTGAGAAGTGACAAATTCTATGCCAGCACTGGCTCCTCCACGATCTGCAGAAACATCAAAGTACATCTTCCATGGAGGTTGTACTTCAACGACCATTGCGTCTTCTTCAGGTAGTTCATCAGTTAGTTCCCAGTCACCAGGTATCGGATGATATGCCAAGAAGTCTGCCAATGCTTGTCCTTTTATAGCCTTTTGAGGGACGTACACAATCTCGAATTGTTGAAATTGGAGGTACTATCTCACTAGTCGATTACTAAGAAAAGGTTTTGACATCACGAACTTGATGAGATTTGCTTTAGAAATAAGACGAACAACAAAAGCTTGAAAGTAGTGCTTCAACTTTTGAATTGAGAAGACTAGCGCTAAACACAACTTTTCAATTGGCGAATAATTCAGCTCGTTTGGTGTTATCATCCTGCTCAAGTAGTAAAGAGAGTTTTCTTTTCCCTCACTATTTTCTTGGGCCAACTGTGCTCCAAAAGATCTTTCTTGTACCGCAATGTACAGTGTCAATGGCTTTCCAAGTATAGGGGCTACTAAAACTGGAGGCTTCATCAAGTAGGATTTAATGCTCTCAAAGGCATTGCTACACGCTTGGTCCACCTTGAAAGGGATACCTTTCTTCATAAGGTGACTGAATGGTTAGCATCTCCTAGATAGATTCGAGATGAATCTCCTAAGATAAGTAGCTTTCCCTGCAAACTTTTCAATTCATGAATATCTCGAGGCTCAAGCATTTTCAAAATTGCATCAACTTTGGTTTGATCAATTTCGATCCCTCGATGCCAGACAATGAAATATAGGAACTTTGTAGAAGTAACTCCAAAGGCACATTTCAATGGATTCATCCTAAGTTGGTACCTCCGGAGCAACTCAAATACCATTCTCAAGTCTTTCAAGTGGTCGCTCCTCTTTCTCGATTTTACCACCAAGTCATCTACATAACATTCAACATTCTTGTGGAGAAGGTCATCAAAAATATTCTGCATAGCCCTTTGGCAAGTAGCACCAGCATTTTTTAAGCCAAGAGGCATTACCCTGTAGCAATAAATACCCTTGGGGTGCGGAATGCAGTAAGCTCTTCATCTTTTGGTGTCATGTGAATTTGGTTATAACCCGACGAACCATCCATAAATGACATTTCCTCGTACCTAGTAGTAGCATCGATCATCAGCTCTGGAATAGGAAGTGGGAATTCATCTTTGGGACACGCATTGTTGAGATCCTTAAAGTCAACGCACACTTGAATCTGGCCATTCTTCTTCCTTACAGGGGAAATACTTGAAACCCATGTTGGGTATTTAACTTCACGAATAAAGACAGCTTCGATGAGTTTGTTAACTTCGATTTCAATTAGGGGAACCAAGTCCGGCCTAAAGCGCCTTTGAGCTTGCTTAACAGGACGAGCGCCATTCTTGACTGCAAGATGATGGAATGCTACTTTAGGGTCCAAAGCAGGCATCTCTTTGTAACTTCAAGCAAAAACATCCCGAGACTCCTTGAGTAACTTAGTATAAGTGCTTTATTCATCAACTTCTAGTAAAGCCACTACAACAAAAAGGTATTTAGCGGCAATCTATTAGTGGCAATAAAAACATGGCCACTAAATAATTTTACAAACCCAAATGATAGCGACAAATGAGCATTGACCGGTATTAAGTACCTTTTACTGGCAATAAAAAGAAATGGCCACTAAAACTCACTAGTTTAAAGAAAATTTTACTACGTATTATTTTAACTTTCTATCCAAATAACTTTTCAGCGAAAAAAATATTCCCTCCTATTCCTTAAAATATTTCCGCCTATTCTTTGGACTTAAGTTCGGAATACTTTTGAAATTATTTTAGCAATAGTAAACACTTCTCATCGTCGCTGCCCTACCGCCATTGCTATCTGTCTTCTCTATTTTACCGTCGCCAGCCACCAATCCCAGGTAACACAAATGATATCTCTCTCTCTCACTGATATATAAATATGTATATAAAATTTTGCAGAGTTTGGATGGGAGAGAGATCTGGGTAAATGTTGCTGAAGATAAATCCAAGCGCAGCTATGAGTCTTTCAAAATTTTGATTTAGGTATTTCTTTTTTGCATTTGCTGTAAGTTTTGAGTCTCGACTTGCAAATTTCTTATAAGATAATGTGTTTAATGATGTTTTTCCTTTATTTTGCTTTTTGGGAGCGTTAGATTGGTGAATGAATGTTTGTGACATGCGAAATTCGCCTTCCACTTGTATGTTAAATTACTGTTTCTTTTAAGCCGTGGTGTGCTCAAGTAGCTAGATGAAACCAGTAAATATAGAAAGTTTTGGAGTATTTAAAGTAGTAACCTTTTGTTATTAACTGACTTCTAGGTACTCGACCTTTTGCCTCACTAGGATTTGCTCGTATTCATTATAAAAAGTTGTATGCTCAGTATCTAAGCAACTATCTTTGTTTTTCTTTTTTTTCCATTACTGTTTCTTTTGTGGCATAATCTGTGTTTCTTACTCCATTTCACATATGGAAGAACTAACAAAAAAATATTGCAATTTTATATTTTGTACAATGAAATAGAGTGAGAGCAACTGAAGATTCAACAACTGTTCTTTTAGTTTGATGCCAAGATACTCATCAAGTTAGTTCCTTATTAAGATCGAACAATTCTTTGAGGCTACCTTGTTAGGAAGAGTAATCAGAGATTTGAAGAAAAATGTAGAATAGTTTGTTGAGACACTTATGATAGGTCGTGTTAGCTACTTACTGCCACTCAGATTTTACTACCACTAAGCACTTTATCTTTTAGTGCTTAGAAAAACTCTAGAGTCTCAAGTGTGCTTTGGACAAATTGATACATCATGAGTTTATCGGAGATTCTTGAGTCCGAGAAAGACACTTCACGAAAAGCTAAGTATTTTTAACAAGTAATTCAACATTCCAATATGTTAGCTTGCTGCCACTCAAATTTTATAGTCACTAAGCATTTTACTATATAGTGCTTCAAAGAAAACTCTATAGTGTATTAGGTAAAGATCAGATATATCATGAGTTTATTGGAGAAGTAGAGTATTTGTGGTATATAACTTGTTCAAGGCATATTTATGAGAGAAATAAACATTCAATGTAAGGGTAAAGTGTTTAAGGTTTTTATGTGGATTTACTGTTCGTCTAGTTTCTCAAGGTTCATGCTTTATTGCACAGAATTTGTTTTCTTGAGAAAGATTTTGGCAACTATTAAGTGGCCATTTAGATATTAATCATTCTCCTTTTTTTCTTTCTATTTAATGTGTTAAATTGAACCAAATTGCATTTAAGTCACATAAGATCTTGTTATAAGAACTTAAATTTCCCTTTGATTTGAATACAACCATACTAATACCTTATTGCCTATTTATTTGCAGGCTCGAATTAAAAAGATTATGCAAGATGATGAGGATGTGCGGGTGATTAATGGCATGGTTGTCCCTCTTTTAATCTGTAAGTGCTCTTGAAAAGTCACATAGTTCAGTGAACTAAGTTAACATCTTTTAGTTCGTATTATCATGTATGAAGTAGGATTTAAAGAAATCTTGGTAGATTATGCTCAGTTCACGCTAAGGAGTTTGAGTTGTCTTGTTTGATTTAACAAACTTCATATGGTAATTAAGTTCAAATAATACAAAATACTCATACTGTTAGGACCCATAACATTGAAATGGAGGGTGTTTTTGATGAAGCATTTGTTAGCCTACTCATAAAAATTTCAGGACTACAATAGAAGACATTTTAATATTTTATACAATTGTACCAGAAAGAATACATACACAATTCAAGCTAATTAAGATATGTCATCAAAGAAAGAAAACACATCATTTATCGCATACGGGAAGGCATATCAATTAACTTAGCATGTTATCTAAGTAGGTATCTTTGAAATATATAAAAAACAATTGACGGTCAAAACTAGAATGCTACATTTGTAAAATGTTCTTATGAGCAGCAGACTTTGATCTAAATATTTGGTATTGCTCACTAAATTTTGATTTATATGCTTTCCTCAACATTTTACTAAATAACTTTGAGCCAACACAGAAAACTCTGCCTTATATAGACATTTTGGCTTCTTTAATTCATAACTTTTGTTGTATGCTGGAGCAAAAAATCTGTGTATAGGCCCCATTTTAGTTTTCTTTATCTTTTCAGATGTAGATGTAGTTAATTGTTGAATTTATCTACCACTTTATACCTATAATAATTCTGCCTAGAATAAATTGGGCAGCTTTGTTTTATTATCCATACTGAAATTTAGTTGCTTAATCACTGGGAAGGCAAAAACGAGGAATATGTTAGAAAAGGTTTATGTCAATAGGTGAGATATTATTTTATGTATATGTAATCAGTTTGCATGAGCATTAGAGTTCTAATTTTAACTTTGGCTTTTTATTTTTTACTGTCTATTCAAAAAATTGTCTATTCTGCTAATTTTATCAACTATAGAGAAGCCTCCCTTTTTAACTTGTGAGAATTTGTAAGCATGCCAAACAAAATATGTTTCTTTTTAGAATCTAGAAGCTACTGATAATAAAAAAATTCAAAGAACAAAGGAAAGGGTGAAAGATATACTATTTTGAGAATGTAAATGTCCCATAATTATTTTTTGATTATTGATGGATCTCACATGTGGTTGTACGTATACTCTTTTATTTTATCATTTCACGTCATACATTATGATATTTAGGAATTTGGCATGTGGAAAGCTTCATTGTGATCAAGAGCTTGAGAATCTCGTGATTCTTATTTTCTAGTTTGTAGCCATTTGATAACATATTATCAAAAGCTGATAATAGTAATTAGATTCAAATAGCTTAGCTTTTTTATTATATTGTCAACATTTTGAAATTGTGAATTAGTAGTTGTTTTTGTTTGATGTGGATTTCATGAAGTGAATTTAGCATTTCGAAATGGATTAGTATTATTTACTTTTAATTGCAATAAGAAAAATTGGTAAAAGGTCTTCCTGGATGGTAATAAGATAAATTTACATCGGCTATAACAAAAATTCGTTATATATGTGAAAGAAGGTATATGCATGAATAGTCGAATGGCCATAATATTTGTCACCAGATGGGGTTCCTTCTACTACCAATTAAATTGGTCTTTAGCTATAATAGTAAAAGCTGCAAAATGTATTATATATGGAATTTTTGGGGAGCTTTAGTGGCAATTATAATTGTCGGTAAATAATTATAGCTAAAACTAGTACACATATACTGGCCATAATAGCGGTCTTTACCAGCATTTGATCAAATGGTCGCTAAAGCCTTTGTCGACGCCAGCTACAAAGGCGTATGATTAATTGCTGGTAAGTATTTTTGCGGCTATTTGTATTGCCGCTAAATAGCATTTTTATAGCCGCTAAAAGCCTTTTTTGTTGTAGTTAGGTAGGTGAGTCTTGGTTCTTTATCAATGCCAAAGTTAACTTCTTTTAAGGCATCAATTGTTGTCTTCACCCCTTCTTCAAGTTCAGGTGGAGCATCTTTCGCATCTTCATCTTCTTGAGAGTCCCCATCATTGAAGGATATGTGATAACACGGTGAATCATCCTCCAATTTCTCATCATCCTCCATTAGAGATGAAATAGCATTCTCGCCTTGTGTAGTAACATGATACGAAGAACCCACACTTTCTTCATCTTCGTCATGTTCCTTAGTGTAGACCACAATATATGGCTTTACCTTCAATACTTCTTTACATAAAACCACAAGTTTTGTTTGTCGCCTCATTCTAGAAGGAACCAAACTTTGGAAATCCTTAGAGATCTTCTGGATTCTGGGCGAAGCGGGTGTTCTTATGCTTTGATAATTTCTCTAGAACTTGTTCCCCTTATTTAATGGACCCAATTTCTCAAATACGGAAGTCCTCACAGTTGATTTTCCAAGTCGATCAAAGACAGAAGGCCTGTTAGAAGCGACAGATTTATCTTTTACAGTGATATAATAGTTGCTCACCCTTCTAATAGAGATGCGCACTAGTGACAGTTACTTGTATCCCAAACCTTCCTGTGGTTGCCTTGTAGTAGCTTCTGATGGGAGCTTCCTTAACTTTGATGACTGATTAGGATTGTATCCAGCGTTTGCAAATAGCCTGTAAGCATTAAGATCAAAATCTTCATCTATTCGCTTTGTAGGTAGTGCCACATTCTACAAATGATTTTGGGCCACAAACCCTGCAAGTAGCGTTGAGGACAACTTTACTGCTTCAATTCGTTTAACCGGAAGAGATAACCCCTTTAGCATGTTTGTTTGGAGATTAGATTATTCACCTTCATCTTTCTTCTTTCTAGGAACATATTGGAGTGCAGAAGTTACTTTCTTGCCGTGAGAAACAATGTTCCCTTTATGAGAATTATTTGTGTCAGGGTGTACTTACTCGGTAACAACTTTGGTTTTGTCGGCAGCCACCTCAGCTCTTTCAGTCGTGGACTCATCATTCTTTCCCTTCATGACATCATCAGCTTTTAACTCCTTCACAATGTGGTTCTTTAAGTAGAACTTTACATCGGCGAAGTGTGACTTAGCCTCGTTGAATGGCTCGTCATCAGAAACTATCTTTTTCTCGACATCACCCTCGTAGTACTTCAAATATTGATGGTAGGCAAATGAAACCACTTAATTCTCATGTATCCAAGGCCTTCCAAGAAATATGTTGTATGAAGTCTTTGTATCGATCACATGCACTCATGCACTTGATTGCATATCTTCAATGGTGATCCCCAACCTGATCGCATTTATGGCTCTGTGCCCCCTTGGTTGAATCCTTGAATCATCACATGACTTTTGGAGAGTTTGTTGATGAGAATACCAAGTTATTTCACAGTGCGAATTGGCAAGATGTTCACTGAGGATCCTCCATCAACCAAAATTTGATTTACCTTTTCATTGTGCATATGGCCAACCAGGTACAACAGGCGGTTATGAGGAGTGTCACCTAGTAGAAGATCATCATTTGTGAATGTAATTTTTTCCTCGCAAGTATTAACTTCTTTAGGAATGGACTCGATAAGCTTTTCTGAAGATGGTGCCAACGGTAGGTCATCACTCTTTTCTTCCCCTTTATCAGCATCGCAATAAGAGGCCTCAATACCATCACGAGAAATCTTCATATAGAACCAATATGACAAGAAATCCTCCAAGGTCACTGGATGTCGTGGCTTTTGACGGTGGTGCACCTCCACTTTTGCTTTCTTCAAGCGCCTAACTGGATTCTGTTTCCTTGATCTTTTTACCATTATTTTCCTTATTGGTTGTTCTTTTGATTCTTTTTGTGGGCTTCTTTTGTGGCGCCTTCGACGAGCCACCAACGTCCAACCTTTATTATCATCAGGCTGATCAACTTCAACTTTGTTGTTCTCCAATAATTCTTCATATATACTTTCTTTGAAACTACATATTTCATATGGATTGAATGAGCCAAAGGTGATAGAGACTTGGTTTGTGCTTGCTTTCTCATCTTTAAGCACGATCTTTTTTTCACGAGCCAAGTCCATAACTTTGTCCTTGAAGATAAAACACTTCTCATGATGGTGGCTTACAAGTCGATGGTATTTGCAGTAATTTGGGTTATTCGTTTTCCCAGCTTTATTCGGCCGCTTCATCTACGAAAGCTCAATGAGCTTTAACTCGAGGAGTTCTTCAAAAATTGCTGACACATCAGAATCCAAAAATGAGTACTCTTTCTCTTGCATTTCTTTTAGAGTTAACTTTCCACTTGGCTTATCTTGAAAATATGTGGATTTCATATTCTACTTCTTGCTCACCTTCGTTTTGAATTTCACAGGTGATGTGTTGACATTCATAGTTTCTTTGTTTTCAGGCTTGGGTACAAACTTGCTCAATTGCTTGACTTCTTGCTTGTTGTTCCATTTACGAGGCTCATAGATGGGCAGCCTTTCATTTCCAGCGGAGGCCATGCTCAACTCCATGTCATGGGTATGAGTTGCAAGTTCTTCAAATGTGCTAGACTTGATACCTTGAAATATATAGTGCAGCCCCCAGTGCATGCCTTGGATTCCCATTTCTATGACAGAAGCTTCACTAAGCCTGTTTTTGCAGTTGAGGCTTGCATTCCTCCAACAATTGATAAAGTCGATAGCTGGTTCACCCTGTCGTTGACGAGTATTTCTAAGTTCTATCATACTTACAATATGTTTCCTTGTCACGATCCGAGTTCGCCCTTCGTGAACTGTCGTGACGGAACCTAGTCTCTACGATTAGGTAAGCCTAACAAATTAGGGAAAAAGGAAACAAAAGATAAATCCAGCCAAAACTGCGGATAAAAAAACATAAATAAACGTTTAAGATGCCGCTTGGCATATACAATACAAACTCTCAAACAAAAAAGAACTCCCTAAACCTGGAATCTCATGAATTCACAAGTTGTTGAATGACTACAAGTGTTCTAATCTCCAGAATGTCTATACAAAAGTAAATACTGGAAAGCTAAAGCTAGAGGGGAGAATAGAGAGGGACTCCTCGGTCTGCGGACGCGACAGATATACCTCCAAGTCTCTGAAGGTCGCCTCACCTCACAGATGGTATGGCTGTGTCGAAGAACCTGGATCTGCACATGAAAACATGCGCAGGAAGGGCATGAGTACACCACAGCGGTACTCAGTAAGTGCCAAGCCTAACCTCGGTCGAGTAGTGACGAGGAAAGTCAGGGCCCTACTGATTATAGATGAAAAACAAGGTAAGACAGTATAGAATGTGACAATATAATTAAATACTATTAGTATGAAGTAACACAGGACAATAAGAATAACAAATACAACGGATAGAAAATTATAGAAAGAACGTAACTCCGCATATAGATAGCAACCGTGGATCTACCAGGATACCGTCCTGTAGTCCCCAAATATAAATATCCAGTGGATCTCCTGGGTGACGTCTCGTAGTCCAAATCATAAAGGTGCAAAGGAAACTCCCAGAATACCAATCCATAGTCCCAAATGTAAATACCCAGTACTGGGGGAATCTACCGGGTGCAATCCCGTAGTTCCAATATAAATGTGCAGGGGTATCTACCGGAATACCGATTCGTAGTCCCAAAGTAAACAAGCAGGGGGATCTCCTGGGATATCGTCCCGTAGTCCTAAAGTAAACACACAACCGTCTCAGAAGTATACACAGTTCTATTCAAGAATTAAATAGGAAATTTCTACTCTAACATGCTGCACAGAGTACAAATAGGCAATTAAGGCAGGTAAGACAATTAAGTCACGTAAGCATGCTTTTCCTAATCTAAACAAGAGTCTTCAAGTACAAGTATTTGCTAAATTACAAGAAAACATAGGTATTAGTTTAATGAAAATGGGAGTTCAACAATTAGCACGTGCACACACTCGTTACCTCACGTACATGGCACTCATATAACAAAATACCAAATCCTAAAGGGAGTTCCCCCACACAAGGTTAGGTAAGCCACTTATCTCGAATCAGCTTAATCAACTCGACATCACGTTCTTGCCACGAGTACCCGATGTCAAATGGCCCAAATCTATTCAAATGAATTGTATAATGTAAATATAACTTCAAGTAACCAATTCCACTAATTAAATTGAAGCTAACACGCGAAATTAAGAAAATCGGCCAAAAAGTCCCTTGGGCCCATGTCTCGGAACCGGATAAATTTACAAAACTAGAATCCTTACACTCTCACGAGTTCATGCATACCAAATACATCAAAATCGGACCACAAACAACCTCTCAAATCCCCAATTCCAAGTCTCCAATTTCAAACCCTAAACCCCCAATTCTAACCATTATTTTCCTTAAATTTCTTGCCAAATCAGTAGAATAATACCATATAAACAAGTTTGGGT